TTCCGGGGAACGGATGAGGTATCGTACTGCAATCAGCGAGGATGGCGCCCGCCTAGATGTTGCTGCCAGCGGGGTGTGGGGCGGCCGTTTCGAGAGGACATTCTTTGATGTCCGGGTATTTAACCCTTTTGTCCGATCGAACACCGCTCCCTCCCTCAACAGCACGTTCACTAAGCACGAGAAGGAGAAACGGCGACACTATGAAGAGCGTGTTAGGGAAGTAGAGAAGGCATCGTTTGTCCCCTTGGTGTTTTGTGCCTCCGGTGGTCAAGGCAAGGCTGCCTCTGCTTTCCTCAAGCGCATTGCATCAATGCTGGCCGAGAAGCGGAAGGAACCGTTCTCCATGGTGATGGCTCACCTTCGTTGCCGCCTAGGGTTTGCCCTCATCAGATCGGCGATTGCAAGCTTAAGAGGTCATCGATCCAGGCGAGCACCTTTGGATCAGCAGCTGGAGTGCCCCTCAGCTCTAGTGAATGCTGAGTGTCGTCTGGGTTAACCCTCACCTCTTGTTATATGGCTGTATTGTTTTCGCTATTAGTTAGTTTTCTTTGTTATGATTTCTTTTTTTCTTTTTCTTTTTACCAGGCGTGGGCCATCCCCTGAATTCATAGGTGCCAAACATTCTTTTTCTTTAGTTTTCTTTGTAAATATGATTTCTTTTTCTTTTTACCAGGCGTGGGCCATCCCCTGAATTCATAGGTGCCAGACATTCTTTTTTCTTTCTTTTTCTTTTTACCAGGCGTGGGCCATCCCCTGAATTCATAGGTGCCAACTCTTTTTAATATGTGTACAAAAAAAAAAAAAAGTTTCCTAAACATGAAAAAGGAGCCGCCTGCGTCCGCAGACTCACGCTGCACAGCACGTAGACGTGGACGTGTTCAGTCCACGTACGTCAGTCACACGACAGCCCGCCGACAAAAGAGTTACGGTCGGGCTGAAAAATGTACGGTCGGTCGGGTGATCGTGAGTCGAACCACAGACTTTTTTCAGTGTGGCCTAAAAGAGAAAAAAGTAGTACAGTGAAATCGATAACAATAGTTCAGTTCCCACACAATACCGCTCCTGAGCCGGATCAGACCACAATCCTAGCCTCGGCAACCGCCAGTGCGGCAGAAGCAGAGACACGGCGGTGGCAGTGGATCGGTCGGCGGGCACCCCGAAGACATGCAACACTTGCACGCAGGAGGGCGAAGCTCAGCCGGGCACGAATCCAGGCCATGACAGAGGAGTAGGCTTCACGAGTCTTCTCGGACAACATGGAGGCAATGCGCTTGTAAAGAGAAATAGCTGAATTGCCCATGCCACCATGTGCCGAGAAAACCACAGGGATGAAGCCTGCCCGCTCAACGTGCTGAACCCTTTCTCCGTAGGCCCGGCGCTTCTCACGTTCGTGTCGCTTGGAGCAGGATGCCGCAGATGATGAGCGATTTGATGGAGCGTGCGGGTTGAAGACCCGGACGTCCAGGTAGCTCCGTTCAAACCGGCCGCCATAGATACCGCTCGCGACAACATCCAGCCGACCCAGGTCATCCCGCACAGCTGTGCGATAGCGTTAGTTAGTTCTCCCCGGTCAAGGGCTGGAGGGTTGGCTCCACGTTGACGTCATGCTGGTATCAAGAGTACATAACTAAGCGGCATAACCCCCCAGAGTGTGCAACGCCGATCCAGCTCTGCATTATAATATTGGTCGAGCGGAATCGGATCTTCTGAATCTGATGTCATACGTACACTCCACACCAGCGCATTGCTGAGCGCAAGGCCGGTCTCGAGGCAGGGCACCATTGTTTTTGATCCAAGAGTACCCGCGACTCCCCGGGTTCTCCTCTAGGCTTTTCCACATTATTCGAAAAAATATTGGAAAGATGTCTATGTAAAACTCGATTTTTTTGGGGAATGATGTTATTCTCAAAAATGGATACATGTACTGTAAATACCGGGGTATACAAATTTTCGGCAGCTATTTAATTTCGGCTATATTCGGCACCGACCCAAAACGCCTAAATTAAAACGCCGATGAAATTGTTCACAGAATCTTTCGCACTATACCATGCCCTCTACCCCACGCCGGAAATAAATCGCCGCCGAAATGTCAAAAATCGTGAAGTGCCGAAATTTTGCAGCGCCGAAATTTTGTATAGTACTGAACTAATTACTTGTAGGGACTTCAATTGAAAAATCAAATTCGCGAGTTTTGCATAAAACGCTAGTTTTTCTAAACCGGGAAGAATCGAGAAACAATCTGTGAAAATTTGAACCCAAAATTCCAAGGCAATCTAGAGTTATAGTCGATTGAAGATCGGAAAACGGGGGAGAAAGTAGTCACAGAAGTAAATGCAAGTATGTATGGGAGCCGTGTGGTTTCCGTCCAGCACTGCACTATCTGGTGCATACATGGCGATACAGGATGTGTGCATGCATGCAGTGTGCACGCATGCCGTGCGCGCCGACTTGCACAAGTCACACGTTTTCACCGTCACTGCTTCTACCAGTGTGCGCGCAGTTCACTCGATTTTTTCGTCTACCACCAGGAAATCGCCGTGGGCTGGTTTCTGTGATCATTTTCCTTCTACGGCGATAAAGCGCGAGCCTCAATGTTGTAGAATCCTCTTGGTTTAGGCTAATTCGAGGCCGCTGAACACGAAAATCGGGTGTTCCTCGCGAAGCCGAGTACGGATCTGGTCGAAATTAGTACTTCGAAGTGCACCCGCGCCAAGCGCGGAGGCATTATTTTTGGAAGCATGGCATGTGTGGCACCATTGGAAAGGTAATGACCTCAGCTACCTAAAAATAGCATCGACAAGGCCGAAAAGGCCGCGGGAGAAGATACTCGGGCCGCGAACTGCATCTCGAACTGCAGCCACGAGGCGCCCATTCACTTTGTACAGGCGAGCTGTGACTGCACTTTTCGCTTTTCAGTGACCGGAACTGAACTCCCTATAAATACTTGTCTGAAGCCGTGATCAGGTGATGCTGACTTTGTCGGAGCTCTCTTCCGCGCCAAGCAAATTCATCGCGCTCCGCACTATTCCGCCCCAGAGCGCATATCGTTTTTTCTGGAGTTCGTGCCGTCCCACATCGTTCGCGAGGGCATTTATCAAGACTGCAAGCTTGGGTATAAAAATCCTGGTATCTCTCCTGAATACGAAATGCTGAAGTTGACGATGGCAAGAACAAGGTGTTCTCAAATTCCTAAAATGCGCTACTTGTGGCGCATGTTGCTGCGAAGGTAGCAAGTCTGAAAACACCAACAAAATCAGCGAAGCGCTTGCCAAGGAAAGAAGGTGCGGAACTGCTTACCCTATCCCGCTGGAAGGTCGTTACAGATTATCAGATTATCACCATGTACTAATTTTGAGGAGTAATGGTACGAAAGGCCTCATCAGATTTTCAACTAGCTTCGTCTCTTCGTGTGCTGAAATGTTTCCCTCCGACTAACTAATATAATTATATATCCATCCAATGTGCTCCAATTAACAAATAAAGTGCTATCATGAAAGGACAGTCAAGGTGAGACACCAAGAGTGATAATTATAGTGTGGTATGAGACAATCGTACAGGGCTTGTACATGTAGCTACGAATGCGGCTTCATGGAAACCACTTGTTTCTTTTGCTTACAGGGGTCAATTTCTTCAATATTCGGAGGCTCCGCTGTTTTTTAACGTGAACGACAAAGTACAGAAAAACTAGAATGATCATACAATTCCACTTGCAACACGTAGCGTGAGTTAACAAGCATTAATGAAGATATACAGCAGACCTTTTACCACATTCATCCAAATCGTCGTGGCCATATCACTTGCTGATCGGCCCTAAAACATTCGGGGAAGAAGAATGAAGTTTTCTTGCGCTGCGAGCCTGCGAGCCATTTTCTGTGGCGCTGTCGTCCATTTCGCCGAGCCTAATTTTAGGCTAGCTTTAAGGACGACAGTGGGCGGAGCGTCTACAGCGGAATCGGAGCTGATATTGAAGCGTAAATGAAAGGAGAGAGGAGAGAGAGTGAGTGGAAGACTACCGATGGCGATTCTAAAAGACTACCGATGGCGATTCTAGAAGCATTGTCCTTTCACGATGCCAAGAATTGCCTGCTGGAAGTAGAGGCATCATGGCCGCCATTATGGCCGCCATCATGGCCGCCATTGCATTATGAGGTGATTTATGACCCTGTTTCAAGGGCGCTCCATGCGCCTCTTGAGTTCTGAAATGGCGACAACAGTCATGAGATGTTCCTTGGGGGTCGCGTCGGGGAGTTTGGAAGAGTTTTCTGTTCAAATTACCCGCTTTTTGTGCTCTTTTAATACACAACAGCCTAAAAATAGGCTTTCGCAAGACAAGCGAAGAGATCATGTACTTACTCAGTCGTAGGATTAAATCAGATTTCTACTGTTGTCTAATGTCGTAATGACTATTGTGCACGTGCACTGCTACTGAGTACTGTACTGTCTGTACTACTGTAGCCTGTAGCCACGGTGCTGGGGTATCATGATGGCAGTGTTGACACCTCATTGACACGTCGACATGGCCGAGTCTAGCTAGCTACACTGTCACTGGCACTGCTGCATGCGTTTACCATGTTTACCATGGTACGTACAGTACATCATACATGGTGTACATGACTGTACTTGTTTTACGGCTTCTAGGAATACAAATGACGGAATAGAAGCTCTGCCTGGCAATATTATTACTCAGACTAAAGAGATGGCCAGGCAGGCAGAGCATCCACAGAAAGAGACAGAAGCACGTCGTGCAAATACATGTACATCATGTACATGTACTGCCTATGCTGGTCTGTAAAACTTAACTGTCAACCCGTAATTCATTGTCAATTGTCAATGATCGACACTACAGGAAAGAGAAAGAGAAACCTGACACATCGCCCCAATGTATAATTATTTCTTATTCCAATTGATGTTTTCCTGATTTCATTTTATGAAGCTCAATACAAATGTACTAGTACTACTGGTATCAGCTGCTTCACCTCTTGTCCACGTTCCCCTGGTGCAGTGAAGGAGCTAGTGCCAACCTTCCGCCAGTGATTCGGTCAAGACCTTAGCTTGTTATTGTATAACGTTCTTTCAAGTTTCATTATGCAGTTGAAGTTATTGTTCGTTGTACTCATCGTGGTGACAGTGTGTTACGATCTCTTCTACCGATTGTCTTATTCCATGTGAACGTGCAACCCGTTGGTGCGGCTGCAGGTCTCTCTTTCTGGATCTCTCTCTTCCTCTTTTCTCTCTCTCCCTGTGTCTCTCTCACTGTGTCTCTCTCTCTTTCTGTTTTCCTCCTTCTGTCTCTATCCCAGTCTGTCTCTCTCTCTCTCTCTCTCTCTCTCTCTCTCTCTCTCTCTCTCTCTCTCTCTCTCTCTCTCTCTCTCTCTCCTCCTCCTCTTCCTCCTCCTCCTCCTTCTCCTCCTCCTCCTTCTCCTATCTATCCATCTATCTATCTCTCCTCCTCCTCCTCCTCCTTCTCCTCCTCCTTCTCCTATCTATCCATCTATCTATCTACCCATCTATCTATCTATCTCTCTTGCCATTCTACGCTACGGTTCTCTTTCGTTGACGATAACGTTATATTGCAAGAATGGCTGCTGGCGGGAGGAGGTACGACTACAAGTATGTGCTGACATTTTCTCCGCCTCCGCGTTGCTGCCTCGCCGCTGGAGACATAGAACGGGCACTTGAAGAACTTGGACTACGGGCAAGGGTGGAGAATGCCAGGGACACCGATCAATCGTTCCGGGTTCTGTGGCTAGGTAAGTAGATCAACTGTAGGTTTGTGCATCATTCCAGCACTTCCAAAGACCAGCGGCTAGGACCTACCAATACTCATAGATTTTGTGGATCATACGCAAAATAGCATCAAAATAATTATTATAAAACTCACTCCATTGCATGATGAGCTTTTAGCCCCAAGCGATGGTGACCATCACTTGGGGCTAAAGCTCATAATGCAATGGATTAGTTTCTATCTTGATGTTATTTTTGTGTAGAACCATCACTCTCATTCGCGCAGTTCATCTGCAGTCTTCCAGAAAAGTACTTTTAAATTTCCACAATGAAACATGTCTCAGGGGTGAAACAATGATACCGAAAAGTCCAGATAACCCCAACAAAATGTCCCCTTGAAGCACTATGCATGTGTACAAAAGGCTTAGGAGAGAGAAGCAAGCCTAATGGCCAACGCGGCGACGGTTCTCAGCGCTTGTTCTGCACCCCCATGAGCGCCGGACACTGACTCACGCTGCTGTCTGGAGTTCGCGAGGTGTTTGTCGCCTGGCTGGAAACGGAGTATCACTGTAAGCTAACATCCCTACTGGACCCTAGTGATGTTTAGGCTCCGAGAGCACTACAGTATGCAGTGCATCCCCAGTGATGGTTAGGCTCGGAGAGCGCTACAGTATGCAGTGCTCTCGGAGCACAAATTTCATTAACCGGGCTCAGCTGATGAGGGGTGAATTCCCCGAAACACTGTGTATTGAGCAGGGAGTTCCGAGTGGTGCTTTCTTGCAGGTTTGCCGAGTGGAAGGTTCAATGGCCTTCTCGTATGCTCTGGATGGCAGTCGTGAGTCAGTCTAGTGAGATTCAAGTCGGCAGGAAAAGCGCGAGCTCCCACTTAGGGAGCGGCACACAATTCCCTAAGTATCGCCGAAGTCGCACCGAACTCTTCTTCAGGAATTGCTCGCCGGACTCTACCACCGTAGACCAGCACTGCGCAGCTGCTGAATCGAATGAATGCATGTGATCTACAGGTTTCTGTGGACTTGAATATGCTTTGTTTCATCTGGCGATGTTTGCATGATGCATGTAACACCCTATTTCAGCCCTGTTTTGCTATCATGCCATAAACCCGCACTGGTGGAGGCCAAAGCAACTAATACTTGCTTGTTGTCCCACCTGCTTGCATTGGTCGTTCTGCTAACGGCCTACACAGTGGAGCGATTATGTGGAACAGATTACCGTCAGATGCAAAGTGCTCAAATAGGTATTAGGATTTCAAATCTCAAGCCTTGCAGTGTGCATTATCAGCTACGTAGGGTTTCCATAGCTCACTGGATTTATACTGTTCGTTAAAACCAACCTTCACGGTTTTCTTTCTTTCCGTTTCTTAATTCAATTCTTCCACACCATCCATTAAATTTTATTCCCAGTGGGTCCATTTTTATATGGCGTATGCCTGTTTTGATTCTCACTATATTAAAATAAAGTACATGATGATGATGATGATGCTTGTATACAACAGCAACAACAACAATACAAAAAAAATAACCAGCCGTCTGCGCAAGCGAATGACCATTGTTTTTGACTATTTATTTACCTATATATTTTTTATGAAAGTGCACATGCCTGTATAGAATGGAAGAGAAGAACAACAACAGCAAGAAAACATAGGTGACTGCAAAGGGCGTGGAAGTGCTATAAAAGCTGTGCCGGTGAGGTGGAGTGCGCTCCCCCGACTAATGGTCTCGGGATCAAGGCGCACATCACGCACCATGGGGGCGAGGGAGAGAAGAAAGACGGTGTGTGAAAGAGTGAGAGCCAGAGAATGATGGAGGGAGGGAGAGGGAGGGAGAGAGAGAGAGAGAGAGAGAGAGAGAGAGATGCACGGTGAACGACTAATACAAATACCTCTTCAAATGAAATACAAGCAACCAGAACCAATGAAGCATAAGAATAAGTAGCATCACAAGGGTGATAATCATTACAACTAGGTGATAAATAATTTAGCGAAGAATTTATTAACTAGGGGAAATAAGAAAAAGGGGAAAGAGAGAAAGAGAAGGTGAGAAGTGAGACAAGAGTTGATGTAGCGTCCATTTGGTGCTTGTCTTTACCTAGTGTGTGTTTTAGTTCCTCTTGTCTCACTTCTCACCTTCTCTTTCTCTCTTTCCCCTTTTTCTCATCTCCCTAATGAATAAATTCTTCGCTAAATGTATCACCTAGTTGTAATGATTACCACCCTTGTGATTTTACTTATCCCTATGAGGCTATGTTTCATTGGTTCTCAGTGCTGCTTGTAATTTGAAGAGAACACCCGAAAACTCTTTTTGATGATGATGGTGGTGAAGAATAACTCGAGATTTACAGCCTTCTGGAACACGAAAAGATCAAAGTTGCTGTGCTCGCTCTCCAGAACGCCGAACTGCTGTCGAAACTTTCCGAAAGATCAATAATTGTATCCGGGAAGTACTCAGTCCGCAGACCGCATGACCTGTCAATGAGTGACGGGTAGTGGCACTTCGTGGTTGGACGACTGGCGAATGACGAACGAACTGAATTCTCTGACTTGGCACTATCCGCAGTAGGGTCCAGCGGATAATGCCGGCATTACATTCGGCATTATAAGCCTATCCGAGTATTAGAGCATTATGGAGCATTAGGAAGGAACAAGACGAGCATTATGTGAGGTTTGAGCGGCATAACGAGTTTTATAGTGGATAATGTCGGGAAAGCTCATGGTTTTTGGCAACAATCGGCTAAAGCCATGACTGCATGAGGTGCAACGCCATAATATTGTACCGGCACATGACTTTGTGAGTGTAGACACCGTCACACGTAACACCTTTAGCGCTACATTTACCTGACTATATGCAGTAATGTCATTGCTACATAAAGTCTTTATGTAGCAATGTCAGGTAAATGTACATGTGATGTAGCATGCCCAACGTTGCAACTGAGGCTGTTTATGCTTCGAAGTGCACAAAATCCGTAACTATGATTTACGAGGAATTTTTTTAGAAATCATGGAGAGCCATGGATGATGGAGGAGACTACGTAGATCTACGCGAAGTGAATATCAAACAGAGGAAGAGGAGTTTCCTGTTAATAAAAAGTGCTATGCCATAGGCTCTGGCCATAGCATGTCTAGCGATACTGAAGTAAACACTAATCCATTGATAAAAATTTGGACCTGCATGAAGGAGCGGCTATAAACGGATAGAGCTTACTCCAAAATTAATAACTGCTTTTGCAGAGTCCAGCTCAGCAGGCTCGAAAAGAACTAGAATTTCTCATGGACGCAGCACCAAGTCGATTTGAGGGCTCAGCAGCTCATGTTTTACTTTCCTGGTGGAGCACGTACAGTTCGTCGTGGACGATTGTAATGCAAGGCCTATAGTCAAGTGCTATCAGAAAAGAAGAGTATTGTGGCCAACCATCTGTCTCCACGCAACCTGAGGAGAAGAAGACAGCGCAAGCAGAGTGTGCAGAGCGGCTAAATAACTTCTCACCACGTGTGTTCAGGATTTCCGCAAATGTGAGGGATCTCGATCTGAGATCGTCTCTCAGGAACTTGCCTCACGTAAGCTGTTTCGGATGAAGACATTTTTCACAGAGTGGAAGCAGTGACAGCTTGTCTGCAGGCAGGAATATCACTTCCCATAATAAGCTTCCAGCATCCAATTGATCACCAGCAATAATGGTCTCACATCCCACTTCATGGATAAGCAAGGGAAAAGATTTGATATGCCCACTGTTCAGCCACAGCCCTGCATCAAAGTTGCAATGGAGAGCAGCCAATGGAGATGCGATCATGTCTTAGTGCTAAGTAGTGGTGGAGCTCGTGAGAGATATTGCAGCAGCTTCAGAGGCAGATTGACTATATGCATCCTTTCCTGGAAGTTTGACAATGTGCAGCCTTTCTTCCATTTTGTTCCAAACCAAGAGCATTATAGCCCTTGTTGGAGCATTATAATTAGCATTATCAGGTAGTTTTTGGAGCATAGTGATTAGCATTATACGAACATTTTCGGAGCATTATCCGCTGGACCCTAATCCGCAGCCCTTTCCCAAAGATGCCATAATTTTTTCGCAACTTATGCTTTTTGCAACCGTGCCTAAACAAGTGCAAGTTGCTGAAATTGCACCCATATTTTCATAAAAAGCTCAAAAGTTGCTAACATCGCAACTTAAAACGAGAGAGTTCTCGTACATGCAATGATGCCAAAAACCACCAAAAAAGAGCGGGAATATCAGAAGTGCAGCGACAGCAAACTCTGCACCGCTTCTTGCTGTGATTACCTATGAACCACAACTTTACACAGTGCAAGTAGCCTGTTGAATACATCCGCCATCACCTCATTGCATGCAAAAGGCAATGCACAAAACGCATACCGTTGATCTACTGAAGTACTGTTTCTCTAAAGTGAGCCTGAACTCTGAAGGCACGCTAGAAATGAGCGAGTATGCATTTGTCCGGCATGTTCTACAGTAGTCTGTGACTTGGGCCTTTTGGGCCAAAGTTGCGAAATAGTTCGCGAAAATGAAGAAAGTTAGTTGCGAAAGTTGCGATTTCTTCCAAAACAACCAAAAGGTGGGGAAAAAGTCGCAAGCATCTTTGGGAAAGGGTAACTATCCGTGCAGGCAATACCAGGGATGTTCGATCAAGAGTGGTAGCCAAAAAAGACTTGCTGATGCCAATGATAATTCCACGTGATGACACATGGTGTGGGGCCAGTGTGCCGTCGCGGAAGATTATTTCCCTCTTTGGTCCTACCCAACCTTGAACCTTCCAAGTTGGAAGGCTGTTGGTTTGCACATTGGAGATGTGTTAGAGCTAGGTCTTAGGTCGTTGAATGTCTCAGTAGCCTGTCAGTTTTGTGCCCTATTATCGCACGTTCTGACTGCTTATTATCTTGTTACAGTCGTGGACAGTTGCTTCATAACTCGTTCCCATGTGTTTTCTTCTTCTATTTTTACATTTAATACTGGCTCATTATCCGAGTTCAGTTTTAGAGTAATAACACTTTCTTTCTGG